CCCCAAAACCCCAAAACCCCAAAACCCCAAAACCCCAAAACCCCAAAACCCCTATATTCTAGGAATTTATAGAATAAAGAATTTTCCATTAGACATCTGAATTCCCTCTATCGATTTTAGAGTATTTTCCGAGAGCAGAGAAAACATGGGTCTTCAATTGGGTCTTGTTTCTTTTGATACAGATCGCTACCAAGATCACGTTGATCAAGATCAAAATGATAGTAATTAGGTACAACCAATTGAATGTGACATGAGAGGAACCATAGGTTATTGGTTCAACAGTTGGAGCTTCGAGGCAAGCAGCTGGCTTGTTAACAAATCCTGAACAGATTGCTTCATAAACATAGTCAGGTGCCATATCACCATTGTACTTTCTATCATTGATAATAATAGCAGGGGTGTAGCTAAAACCTCCTTCAACCCAATATTCATAGTCTTCACCGAGAAGAATATTGTCTTCGTCTTCTGTTCCTTTGTTTACAAAAGATTCTTCAACACATTTAACAGTATCATCCCAGTTAAGGCCTACTTTAGCATGAACACTCTTAGAGCAATCCTCTGTAAAGTCAGTGTAGCAAGAAGAATGTGCTCTAGTGACGTAATCCCACCAAAGTTTGTCATTCTTTTGATTTTCCATTGAGTTTTTATAGATGCATTTTTGTCTGACATTAGCAAGAAGGATATCCGTTCCTTTCATCGCAAGATCCCTGTAATCTATGGCACAATATTTTCCATTTCCGAAGCAATCAGCTTGCTTGGTCTCATCGTCACATCCGAAGCAAGGCCAAGAGAAATATCTTGGAGTCATCGTGACTTGGCCTGCAAGTCTTTCATGATAGCTCTTGAACTCAGATACAAAGTCAAGAGCTCTATCTTGGTAAGTCGATAAGAGCAAGTCGTAACGGACATGGTTTTCTTGATTTTTCATATCAAACTTCATTACGAACTTGGCTTGCTCCTTCTTCTGATCGGTATTGGTCTCAAAGAAGTCTATGATTTGGCTGCCAGGCTTTTTGTTGATAAGGAGAGAAGGAATTCCAATTCCATTTCCAGTTCCGTCATTTACCATGGTGATGAATTTGACATTCTCATGATCTTTTTCGTCAACGATTATGGCTAGTTTTCCTCCTCCATACTCAATATTTCTGACCTTTTGGACGAAGGAGCAGCCACCTCTCTTGACTATCACGATTGGGTTAGGATCTTTGAATGCTTTAAGAGTTTCATCAAATGATTTGCAGCCGTCGGAGTTATCAGCAAGGTAAACAACTTGCCCTACAACTGTATGACCGTATGGGATATGACCAAAGTCAGCAAGTGATACTGTCAGCTCTCCAGAGCCATCCAGGACTGTAGATTTCAATGAAGGAGGGGAGTAAATAACTAATTTTGACATTTGAGTTATTTAAATTATATAATTAGCTTAAGAAAGGGGTTTTGGGGTTTTGGGGTTTTGGGGTTTTGGGG